AGAAATTGTTGTGTGGCAAAATATCAGTTTTAGGCAGATTGATCAATACTATAATAATGATTTAACAAAATATATCTCCTAACCAACGTGTCTTCAACTGATCCTTTAAATTCAGCTCAAAGAACGGTCATGAATCGAACAAAGTTCTGTAAGTTTATTTTGCATTTGTGAAGTATTAATTTATTTTATTAATGTGATTTGCATTAATAAATAAAGCTTTATTTGTGCGTGGCATGTGTGTTCAGTAGTAACTGAGGCTTTGCATCATTTCACAAAAAAGGGGCATATTTATAAAGCAGTGAATGCAACATTTACCAAACATGCACTGCAGGTAAATCAATCATGCACCATGTGTTTTGCGAATGTTAAGTGATTTTTACATTCACTGCTTTATAAATATTGTTATCAATATCTTGAGAAAAAGGTGTGTATGGTTCACAGGTTACATGAAATTTTAACCAATTTGGTTATATTATTTGTTTTCTGGTGCTATTTTTTTTTTTTGTACTACCAGTGGGCCAAAGATAATTGTCTTTTAAAATCTGTAGCTTTGTGTACTGTTTTTTCAGCACATTAATATTACGTTTGGGCAGTATCACAAAAGTGTTGTGTGATTGTTGGCTGAAACTAAAATTATAATACTATAATACATATAATCCTGAGCAAGCATGTATTTTATATGAAAAATGTTACTGTGGTAATAAATAGGGAGAAAGAACATATTTTAAGTAAAATATATATATGCTTTACTAAACATTTTTAGAAACTGGGGCAACACCTGTACTGCTAAGGAGTAGCGTTATTTTTTATTTTATTTCTAGTACATAAACAAGCTCATTTTTAATGAAGTTCTAAAAGGCCAAATATTTGTTTACTTTTTTTAACCTGCCTTTTCAATTTAAATTGAGAAGAACAATTATGCTGCAGTCATTAGTATTGTCCATGAAAGGCATGTGAGTGTTAAGGTTGACTGAATTTGGTTTATAATAAACTGTGTTATTAACAAGCTTATTTGGGTTCTGCCTCAAAATAATCAAATCAAAAAACATATTGTGGGGGATGGCTTTGGTCTTAGCTGTAAACTGTGTAATTAATTATAATTAATAATTAATTATAGTGGGAAAACTTAATAAAACTTTGTATATGCTAGGAATGCACCGATACCAAGTAGCGTACTTGGTACAAGTACAGATAAATTTTTCGAACTCCAAGACAAGACTAGAGAAAAATTCAAAAGTTAGGAGGCAGCTGTCATTTGTAAGGAGCACACAGAACTCCAGGGATTTGTACATCTCTGTTTTAATGTATGATTTTGTTTTTATGAACATATATAAAGGGATGCACCGATACCATTTTTGCAAGTACAAGTACTGATACTCACCCAAGTACTTGCAGACACAAGTACTGATACATTTTTGTTTATTGTCATTTAACAGTTTTTCTAAAACAATATCGACTAATAATTTCACGACAGTGGTGCAGTGCCAGAGGAGCGCAACCACTGAAACCCTGGTAGTTATCATGAAAATGCCAATTATTGGCACTGGTATCTGAACTGGTATCGGTGCATCCCTAGTATATGCTCTTTCAAGCCATTCAAAGCCAAACATGTATATCCTTGGCCTGCCTATTGGTTGCTTCTGGTCATGGGACCAATAATACAAGCCAAACAGTGAAAAATATAGTAAGCGCCTTATTGTTTGTGCCCTTTTAAAGAAAGGTAAATAAATGTAAACAGTTTTTAGTCAGCATTGCACTCCTGCCAGCAAGTAGCTATGTAAAGTTAAGTCAGATCTATGGGAGTTTTTACCTAATGATGTATTCAGCTGCTTTTCCTTCTTTGGGAAATGGACAATGAGACAGGATATGTTTTTTTTGTTATGCTAGTTTATTCTTTGTATGTACATGTATAGTTCTTTATCTGCACATGTATACTATTCCTTCTAGTATCTTTTGATCTGATTTTGTTTTATAAACCTCAAATATATTGATAATTAGACTTCATGGAATGAATATAGTTTCTCACAATATGGAGACCCACACGTTGTGCACCTAGGACTTCAAGGATTGGTACTTAATGCAGACATATAGTATATGATAATGGGGATATAGCAAAAACCTAAGACCTGAGAGTCAGTTTGTCCCCTTCTTTTAGCATCAAAGCTGGCAAGTTCCTTAATTACTGACAAGCCTAAATGATACTTTTGCTAATTGGATTCAGGTAACTTTTGTTAATATGTCTCTTGGTATCTGTGTGGATGAGGTTGTAGTATTTCTTGGAAACGTTTATTGCAAAATGATTTATGTAACCGTGTCTGTTTAAATATATGTTGACGTGTTTTTAGCATTGTTCGGTGACTCCTGCTGTTCAGTGATGTGTGGCTTTGTAAGCTGGCCATACACTGTTCTATTTTGTAGTTTTTTTGTTCAACCCACGGGCTGAACGAAAAAAATAGAACCAATTCCTCCATTAAGGTTTACGAGCATTAATGAAGGAATCCCTGCTGTTTCCTTTTCATTCTGACAGTGGACAGCTTTAAGTATGAAAGCTGTTATGTTGCTTGCAGAGGGGCATTCTAACTCTCAGCAACATCTCTGATAGAGGCACCTTTGAGAAGGCTGAACTTGCCACCAGTTTTTATCATTTTAAAGTGTAAGTATAGGCAAAACATTTTTCTTATTTTTAGATAGAGGGGGAAGACTTAGAAACCTTGTCAGGCTTTTACTGCTATCTGAGGATTCAATTAACCCCTTCATGACTGAGGTCTTTTAAAAAAAATGTGTTTATATGTTATAATCCACATTTTAGGCCTGAAATTTACTTTATTTACATGTTATAATCCACATTTTAGGCCTGAAACCCCCAAACATTATATATTTTCTGAAAGCCAAGATCCTATAAAATAAAATGGTGGCAGTTGCAAATTTTTATGTTGCACGATATTAGCGTAACTCCTTATCAAACCCCCACATTTGGTGAAAAATGCACTTAAATGCTTAAAATATAAAATATGAGATTACAACGAGTAAATAGATACCCAACATGCTCAGTTAAAAAATTGTGTGCGTCTGTGAAACTGCAACAAAATTCAGTACCCTAAAAAGTCCATAGACAACGCTTTAAAAGCCCCCACAGGTCATCAGTTTAGAGATATATGCGTAAATACTGGCCCTAGAATTATTGCCCTCACTCCAGCATGCGCGGCAATACCCAACATGTGTAGTGCAATCGTCATTTTCATACATAGGCACACCCGAGTGTTTACATGAAGATGCGTGGGCTCACAGTGACAGGGGACCTTAAAACATTTTACAATTATTTTTATATTGTTTTTAATATTAATTTTATAATAAAAACTGTAATTTTTTTCCTAACTTTACCTTAATTGCTATCACATAGGGGGGCTTACAAGCCCCCCATGTGATAGCAGATTAGTGGTGACAGGTACTCTTTAAGGTGATACTGGGGGTCCAAAAGCCCCCTAGTAAAACCTTAACACTTGAAATAAGCTATTGAAGTGCAGATCCCACTTGAATATCTTATTGCTGGGCTTCAGGAGCTCAACACTGACAGCTATGGGACCGGAAGTGATGTAATCTGCATCGCTCCCGGTCCCATAGTACAGGGAGGGGGGATCAGTGAACGGAGGTTCACTGATCTCCTCCCCAGCTCCCCCCCACACCAGAGAAGCTGGTCCCGTGCCCGAAGCAGGGGTAACGGAACCCGGGAATCACTGCGGGGGCCTGTTTACTGGCCCATAGAAGCGATCTGGCGGCAGCTGAGCCACCAGAATCGCTTCTACTGTAAAGCCGACATTCGCGGCAAAATACGCCGGGAGTCTATTTAAAAGGCCCTGATGCCAGTGACGTACACTATACATCACTGGTCATGAAGGGGTTAATATTTACCTTCACTTCCTCTACTGCTGAAAACGTTTTAGCAGATTGGAAGTGAGTGGAGCAGCAACACAAACTACAAAGGCTGTCCTTGCTAGAACTAGAATTACTTGAACTTCTGTCAGATTTTTATATCTGTCTGTGTCGCTGTTTTCCCTCCCTTCCTGTCTGGTGAAACAGTTGTCAGCAGGACAGGAATGGAAGGGAAATCTCTCTATCAGAGATTCAGATAGCAGTAAAACTGGACAGAAGTTCTAATCCTTCCCTACTCTATCCGAAACTAGAAAACAGTTTTTTGACTTGACATTTACTTTAATAATACAAATACCTCACTGCAGTGTTTTACTATATACTTGGGGTACAAAGTATGTCTCTAGCAGTACATACATGTTCCTTAGTACTGTTACCTGTGTCTTTCTTTTATGTTTTGCTTAAAGGATAACTAAGCATCCAATCTGATATCTTAAATGAACATTTCCTCTTGTATTGCCCATACTTCATGATGTAAAAACGAAATGCAGGCATTTTAATTTTACATGCATTATGGAGTGTGTTAACCCCAACAATGAACTTTTTTTAAATATCTTAATCTGTTCAATGCACCATTAATATTGTTATATCTGTTCAATATGTGCAGAAAATACCTGTTCATCTTGCCAGAAATTCACAGCTGCCCATGTCCTGTGTTACTTCAAGGAGTCTAATTACCTATCCTGATTCTTATCTTGTGACTACAGAATGATTAGTCTATATATTGTAAAGAATAGGATCGTAAGTCAGTTTGAGGAGTTTACCAAAAGACAGCACTTAGTCCACATAAATTCTGTGTGTCGTCAGGCTACAAAAGGACTCCGTTGCTGAGTGCATTTATGAAAGATCGACAGGTATTTTCCCATACTCTCAGGGTCTTTAAAGAGGTAAAATGTGGGGAAATGTGAATGTATTTCACAGATGTGCTGCATGTGTTTTTTTTGTTGTTTTTGCCCTGGCATACATATTAAGGATATGTATATAAACATTTGCTTATGTTTTCCAAAACATCAAATATATGAAGTCTGGCAGAATAAAAGTACTGATGTAACATCTTAATTTTACATCTGTAGATTCATAATGGGAGAACTGTCTGATTGTGAAAGCGATATTTGTGAGCAGTCCAAAGACTTTGATTTCCATGGGTCTGATGAGCAGCAGAAAGAATTCAACCATGGTACAGAACTGATTCCTTGGTACGTGTTGTCAATCAGAGCTGATGTCTACCAGTTCCTTCAACAAGGGGTAACTCTCATTCGCTATGACCAGGAAACACATATTTCTGTGCGCTGTTTTCTCCAGCTCCAAGCAGACAACAGCACACTGACTTGGACGAAACCATCCACAACTTGTCTTGCAACCAATAAAAATAAATTAAGTGCCCCAGGAAGCACTGCAGAGACAAAATTTCAGTTTCTTGCCAATGCTGGAATGAGTGGACTTGTAGATGGCTTCATAGACTTGTTCTCGGTGAAGGCGGTTTACATGGGGCATCAGGGCATTGATATACACACTGTGTGTGTTCAAAACAAACTTTGTAATATGAACCTGGAAGAAAATGGTGTCACACTGCTTTATGGACTACAAACTACTGAGAACAAGTTGTTGCACTTTGTAGCACCAAAATACACCGCTAAAATGATATATGATGGATTGCTGGAATTAACCAAAGCTGTAAGGAAGATCAAAAACTTTCCGGATCAGAGACTTCAGTGGCTGAGGAAGCAGTATGTTAGTTTCTACCAGGTAACAACCTCACCTTGCCTTCTAAAATATATATGTGCTTTAAATGTTACCATCTCCATCCGTATGTATTACTTTTTTTTCCAATAATGTACCTTTCACATGGGCACCTGTCAGTTCCAGTTAGCAGGGGATCCATGCATGGATTCCCTGCTGATCAGAGCAGTTCGGAATGGATATCATAGTTTACCCCGGATCCATCACAATCAGGTCCGCCAAAACTTAACTCTGTTTTGTTTGGTTTTCTGGACCTGGCCAGAGTTAGTGGGGAATCGGATGTAGATTTGGCTGCCCACAGATTTACATTGGGCTTCAGATCAAATCCACCTAAAAAACTGACAGGTGGACCTGACCAGACCTCCCATCTGACCCTTCAGACCCTATACTCACTGGTTCGTTATCAGGGAGCATAAACTCTCCTTCCTCTAGGTTCCTCTAGACCAGGGGAAGGCAACCTTGGATCTCCAGCTGTGCTGAAACTACAAAATCCTATCATGCTTCTGCCTCTGGGAGTCATGCCTGTGGCTTGCAATGCCTTATGGGATTTGTAGTTTCAGCACAGCTGGAGAGCCAAGGTTGCCTACCCCTGCTCTAGACTAATGGTTCTCAACCATCAGGCCATGGCGTGCTGCCTGGCTGGTGTCTCCCTCCTGCCAGGCAGCGTTGAGAGCTGCAGTGTCCCCTCCCTGATGTCAGGGCTGCAAGTGGCAGCAGCCACCCTGAGCTGGTCTTTGAGATTGTTTCTGTACCTTAGCTTCGGTAGTAGCTGTATATGTATGGCAGAAAGAAGGTTTATACCTCTCTTGGTTCTTTATTAAAATGTTGCCATTGTTAATTTCTATTATTGATTACTGTATGATGTGCATCCAGAAAGTACAAACCTATTGACTTTAAAAGGATAAATATTATGGCACAGTTCTTTACCTAAAAGGTCAGATTGTTTTTGTTTTGTTGTCTGTTGTACTGCAAAACTAAGAAGAAATAGTTAACAAAGAATGGATCCAATATTTATTGAAGTTGTGCACATTTTCAAATGTGCTAAATTGAAGTGAATGTAAATCCTAACAAAGAACTTTTCTTGAGCTCCCTTTTAGTCTATTAAATATACACATGAAAGGGTTTGGTTATAGCCCTACGAATATGTGCCAAAAATAACTTGCTAATTATGCCATTATTCCAAAGCTGTTTTGTCTGCTCTACAGTGCGATCTAATGCACGAGCCCTGCCCAGTTCATATTTGTGGACTACAGAACATCTCCCCCTATATTATGGAGAACAGGTGCAGAGGTGTTATGCAGTCCTAACACTTCTTGTCTTACAGTGACCACGTTGCTCCTTTATAGATACAGTATAGTGAGTGATCATTATCACCCTGCGACAGGAAATGTGTTACTAGCAAAATCACCAGGTGACAGTAAAGGGAATACAAATCATAAAAAATGAATGCAACCACCCCATCTAAGGAATGTGGTACACAGGAACATACAGCCGCAGCTTGCATTACAAACATGTTTCCCAACTTAAAGCAGAATAAAAATTGCCTCTCCTCGGTAGCGCCACCATATTTGTCCGGTCTTTTTCCAGGTTCAAGATCTTCTGCCATCTTGATTGGCCGCTTGGTCAATGCACTCTAGCACCGAGGTGCATACTAAAGAAAAAGAGCAGGTAGGTAAGTTTGTTTTATTGCAGAGAGACACAGCATGTCTAGTTTGCAATAAAAAGCCTGCCTGCGCTCGGTCTTTAATTTTTTACGTTAATTTCCACTTCAAAGTATATTTGTGTCCAGGCTATGGATATTAAAGCATTTACATATTCTTAACAAGCTGTAAATTACCTTTACAACAAGCTCACGCTGACATCTGTAGCTGCAAATACTATAGAGAAATATTTTTCTAAACAATACAACAATGGCAATAAACTGGAGGTAATCTACCCTTGTTTCCTGTGGCAGTAGTGACTTGGCAGCCTGCCAGCCATCTAACCCCAAAAAACTACAATAACCAAAATTTCCCATAGGTGACCCTTAGACGCTTTTATTGCTCATCAGTTTAGTGTTAACAGTGATTGATGGGCCTAGACTTATTGCTCTCACTGTGATGCTCGCAATGATATGTAACATGTTTGGCGCAATTTTTGTTTTTTATCTGTTACTTTAATTTTTAGAATTTTTTTTTACACTCAACTTTATTGCTATCACATAGGGGGATAACAAGCCCCCTATGTAATAGTAAATATAATGTGACAGGTCCTCTTTATGGGGACATCAGGGGTCTTTCAGACCCCAAATGTCACCTAGGGACCCCAAAGAAGCTGATGAAGCAGAGATCTGCTTCACCAGCTGTTTCATCTGGGTCTAGGAGCCGGAGAATGTCCCTGGTGACACCGGAAGTGATGTAATGCACATCACTTCCGGGTCCAGTCACTGGCGGAGAGATCAGCGGGTTGAAGCCTGCAGATCTCCCTCCGATCCATCAGGGGGGACTTACAAAGCCGGTCCCAGGATCGCATGGGGGACAACGGAGCCTGGGAAGCCGACGGCGGTGGAGGGGGCGAAGGCAGCGCTGCACCATATAAGCGATCCGGCGCCTATGCAGATGCCGGATCACTTGTATTTAAACAGCAATTGTCTGCTGTTTAAAACGGCACCAAGAACACGGCTGCAGCAGCCGTGTTAGTGGTATAACCACTTCCAGCGGATGACGTGTATTTACTGAACCCGCTGGAAGTGGTTAAGGAGTGTGTGATATGTGTGTTTTTTTGAGTGTATAATGTTTGAATATGTGTGTTTCCCTATTTTGCGTAAGGCAGTGATGCTGAACGTTTTTCAAACCCCATCGCCCAAACTCCAACACAATACCAAACTTATTTTCAATGTTGACACTTTGAGATAAATAAATTGATTTTGCGCTGCGGTTTGGGCACTCAGGTTTAAAAACGTTCGCCATGGCTGGCCTAGCGTATACTGATGTGAGTACTTGACATGGAATGGTGACAGGGTCTCTAAGCTATTTACTGAAGTGCTGTGCTAAAATGATGTTTATCTTGTTAGATGTTTATGCTGCTCAGAGGTGTCATAGCTTGGAAACATTCTTTTTTTACACCATCAGTAGCAAAAGAGAGCATGAGAATAAATAAGACTTATTTTGCACATTTTATATCTTTTCTCTAATATGTTGCCTATTTTCATTTTAATGGATGCTGCATATAGGAGGATAACAGATTTGAAGGACCAACATTAGCACAGGCTGTTGAGCTTTTCGGGGGAAGACGATGGAGCACTAGAAATACAAGCACGGGAACATTAAACAAAAACACTGAAAAAGCAAATGTGCAGCGTAACAATACTCTGGGGATAAACACAGCCAAGAAAAAGAAGAAAGTTCTTATGAGGGTATAACATTTTGCTGTTCCTGATTCACTCTGTTAGCATTCATGAAAGAATATGTATGATGTTATCCTGTAATCTTCCATGTCTTCCTTTATTACTAGCATTTTTATTTACAATTGTTGGGCCTTGTATGGAAAATAGAGCCCAGATTAGCTGTACCGCCAGTGATTGATAAACCTGTGTTACTGTATGTGTTTATCAAAACATAATGCATGTTTTGTACATTTGTATTTAAAGCAATATATTTCAAAACAGCTGTTGGAATACATAGAGGTTAACTTCTGTAGATTAAAAAAAAAAGGCAAAAGTATATTTAAAGTGGACCTATACCCAAATGGTAACATAAATCTATTTTCCTATTTATTGAGAGACACAGGATTCAGATACATTTGGGTTATACCGCCACCCAGTGGAGGATTTCGACACTGGCAAACAAAAAAATAGTGAACTGCCTGGTATAACCCCTCCTACTCCCAACATGCCTCCGTTTTTTGTGTCCTATGAGGATGGACTTTTCACTTTTTCACTAAGAAACATTTAACCATTTTACTAGCCGTTTTTCCCTTTCCTCAAGATTTTTTCTCTTCATTCTCAAGTCTTGGGTACACTCTGCCTGAGCTAGTCTCCTTATGCAGCTAACTAGGATGGTGTTTGGAGGCTGTTCCTAGACTCCGCTGGGCTGAATGATTGCAAGGCCTGTCTGGAATGTGGCCTTTGGGCAATGGGCTTGGCATTTGGCAACTTCCAGACCTTTGTGTACTGTGTTAGTTAGCAGCAGAGTGCTTCCAGAGCCATGGCACAGCCTCTGGTTTCACCCTGTCTCTGAAGTATTCATTTATTAGTAGGCTGAGGATTGGGAGCTACCGTACTTCTTTTAGGAGTGTTGGGCAAAAATCCTTGACATGGCTCCTAGGTTAGAAAGACTGTTTCGTGTTTTGATGTAGTGTGTGCTACCTTAAGAAATGGAAGAACAGCCTGTAGCTTCTTCTAGTGCTGATACTAGTCTGGGTTCCATTAAAGGTCCTAAGACTTAAAAATTTTTTCCGGTGCTCATCCTACTCCAAGACCTCCTGTACGGAGACTGCAAAACTCCCAATACATTATTGATACCCCCCAAATGTTTTGCAGCCCAAAGTCTATTTGTGGAAGACAAGTCCATTTTGGCAAAAAGGGACACCTACACTTTGCATGCGGGAGGTGAGGGTGGGTCGTCATCTGTTAGCCTTTGTGGTCATCTGGAAATACAGCATCTCGGTCTTCTTGAGTAACGGAGGTGATTTCCAAGAGCTACAGACCAAAGTTTCACTCTCAACCCCACCGCCTCACTTCATCTCGTCCAACCTTCCTGCGTCACTGAACAAGTTAGCAGACCTTCCTGCAACTCTTGTAGTTTTTCTGGATCAGGGGTTATTGCTCCAATTCCTGTAGAAGAAAGGTTTCAGATATTATATTAAAACCAAAGGGAGGCATTCATCCCATCCTGGGTCTTGAAGCTCTAAATGTCTTAATGTGGACCCAAAAATTCCATATGGAGTCTATCAGGTCTGTCATAGCCTCCCTGCATCAGGGAGTAATTCTGGCATCTATAGACATTAATGACACGTACTTGCATGTCACTATTTTTCAAGCACATCTTCAATTCATTTGCTTTGCTGTGGCTATTCAACACTTTGTGTGTGGCCCTGCCATTCAGCATCTCCTCTGCACCCTGTGTATTTACTAAGGTACTAGTTCCTGTGCTTGCCTTGTTTCCATCCCAAGGCACCCCCATTTTAGGATATCTAGATGACCTCCTGTTGAGGCAACAGTTGTCACAAGTCTTGACTGACAGTGTGATGCAGAAAGTTCAGACCCTAAAAAGGTTTGTTTGGATCTTGATTCTTCAGAAGTCTGAGTTGGAATATCTTGGCCTTATCCTAAGCAAAGTTCAAACAACAGTTTTTAGGTTTTTTTTTACCATGAGAAAATTAAAACTATTTGCTCCCAGACTTGGAAGAGAGTCCTAGGGCTGATGGTAGCCTCCTTCGAGGCAGTCTTGTTAACTAAGTTCCACTCCAGACCCTTAGAACAGAACATCTTGGCATTGTAGAACAAATTGTAGAACAAATTGGTTCAGTCTTTTGATAACCCTATTGACCTGTCACCAACAAGCAAATTGTCTCAGCTCTGGAGTTGGGGAAATCCTTCATTACGATCTCTTGAAGTGGATACCAGCTTGACAATGTCCTAGCCACCTTTCTGGTACAGAGGACTTGGACGGTGGAAGACTCCTGTTCTCCAATCAACATTCTGAAGTTCTGGGCAATTTGGCTGTCCCTACAATTCTGGCTATCCCAACTGGTGGGTCATCCAATCAAGATCCAGTCAGACAATGCCACAAATGCCACAATTGCCAGTGTCCAAATTTTCCTGTAGCCATTCTCATAGGATTTGCTAATGTTATTACTCTATTGCTCACTGTTCTCTTTGTTGGAGGCTCTGACATGACGAAGCAAAAGCCCTGCAAGATTACTATGTTCACACAGAGACACAGTGCAGAACAAGATATGGTAAGTCAGTAATTGGGGAAATATCAGCTGTAGGAAGCACTCAGTAGAATTCCCCTCTGCATAACAATGCCCGATTGCCATTATGGACCAGGGTCTATTACAGCTTAAATGTTGAGCCATATAAGGCATAAACCCAAAAACAGCGTGACAAAAGTCGTAAATACAAATGATATGCCTATTCCATAGTGTAAATTCAATAACCTGTGTAATATTTTATCAGGGAGAGAGCGGAGATGCCGCTGATGATGAGATGGCAACAAGGAAAAGCAGAAGCTATAAAGAGGCCCGCAACAGGAGTGGCTCAGATCCTCCTGAAATTGATGAACAAGAAGAGCAAGGTCTGACATGAGTACTTAAAACTACTAACTACAGTCTGAAACTTTGTTATAGACTATAGGGTCTAATATGTGAAGGTGGCAAATAGTCAGCATGGTTTTTTTTTTTTTGTGAATCTGTTTACATTTATAAATTATAATTTTTTGTTTAATATGTTTTTATTATTATTTCACATAAATACATTTTTACATGATACATTTAGTAGTATATGACTTCAATTTATCTCTTAAATAGCATAAATTATTCATAACTCTAATTAAAAACGTCTACTCCATTTCCAGCAACAATAGCTTTACCTTTCACTACCACACAACTTTAACCACCCCCATCTCTACTCTCTTCTCACATTCAATCTCCAATTCTTATATTCCTCTGGAGGGGAAGGAAAAGTCTATATCTCCATTTAAATGCACCTCTAGTGATTAATTTAACAACCGCAACCCATAATCCATTTCTCCCCATCCCCTTTTTTTATGTATACTTCACTCAATTCTTAATTACTGTGCACTCCTTAAGTGTACCATATTATGATGTCTAAAGACAATATACCCCACTTTCTTTGTAGTTTACCTCAGTCCTTAACTCCTACCTCTAATACTAGTGTTCCCACTCTTAATGTGTATCTATAATCTAAGAAAATTCTAAATGTATCCTTTCATTACAAAACCCTATATGTGACTATCTCCACCTCCTAGTTCATTTTATTACTTCATTGCTGTGCTGTATGTGTGTAGGCCAATGTAGTTGGATCTGTATGTGCGTTATAATCGAAATTAATTGATCGATTTAAAAAAAATTTGATTAATCGAACACGAAAATTTTAATCATTACCAGCCCTACTTTTTTTCAGTACACACCACCGCAACACAACTGAGAAAGAAGGCTTTTTCAGCCACGCAGTTATCATCTATGCATGCTCTGGCTGTATAGCACAGCCACACTCAGATAAAGAGGGCAGACATGCCTGTCCTGTAGATGGTGCAGCCCAGAATGCAGTGTGGGCTCCAGAACTTTGCAGGAACTCAGCTATGAAAGGCAAAGACCGAACATCCTTTTGACGCGCGTTTCGTAGGTTAACTTTCTCAAAAAAGGAGTCATGACTCCTAATTTAAATATTTAGCCCATCGAATGCTGGATAATTTGATGTGACTATTTCATTGAAGAGGGGAAGCTAGAGATACACACGAATATAGTTGCTGCTGGCCCTTCCTTATTTAGATATCCAGTCCTAGCGCAGTGTTTCTTGAATAATAAATTTGTGCTCCAGAACCTGTTCGCCCCCACCTACCTCCATGTGTAGAAAATCTTCCTCTACTTTTAGGCCTGCCTAAAAAGTTTACCCCATAGTTCTCTTTTAAGGAAGTCGATCCTCTAAGATAATTAATATAGTGATCGCAATCTAGTGCTCCTCTCTAGAATATGTTGATGTGATTAATTCTCTTTGATTAATTATTATTATTATTATTTAATTTTCATCAACAGATCAGAATACAGTTCCTGGATTTTCTGCATCTCATACTATTCCATCACGGAGGGTTCACTCAGCATCTGTCTCTGGCTCTCCAAATGTAACACCAGGGACAACCACGCCTATCCGGCCGGCATCCTCACCGGTCCTGTCCAGCACCAACAAACCTCCAACCACGTAAGCTATGCAAGATTGATGAAAATCATTCATATTATGTGACATGCTGTACTAATTGATATCCATGTTGGCTTTTACTTGTTTGAAATGTTATAAATCCATTGCGGTTTTGCTGTGTCTATAAAATCATTGCAGGATTTTTGTCTGAGCCTTTTCCTTGGCAGTAAAGTGTTCTACCTTACATATTTTTAGAGATCCTGCCAAGAGCCACAAAATGATTGTATATTTTATTTCATAAAGCAAAGAACTAAACTTTATTAAAATGATTTGATTTAGTGGACAATGGCACACCACAAATGAACAAACTGGCACATGTTGTTTTGCAATAAAACACTAATAAAACTGTTTTATTATTTTCCAGCACATGGAGCAGTTCAAGTTGGCATGGAAGAGTCAAGGGTGGAATGAAAGGCTTTCAATCATTTATGGTTTCTGATAGCAGCATGAACTTTGTGGAGTTTGTAGAGCTCTTCAAATCTTTCAGGTATTTTCACATACATTTTATAAAAGGAAGATTTTTTTTCTAAGCATTATTTGCATCTACACTTATTACATCCCCAGTGCAGTAATAAAAACAACAACCTATACTGTTTAATGGATATTCATGCATCCAGCAGTGACTCACAAGTGGAAGTAAGGTAATGTGTGTGGCTGTTCTCGGCATGTCATGGCTGTGAATGGCAACAGCATCTGCAAGACACCTCCACTGAGCTCCATGGATCTTAAAGATGCGTAGGAGATGGACAGAAAAATTTTTAGTTGGTTATTAACAGCTGAGATGTTAAAACATATACAAACATTTTTGTTTTGGCTGGAGTTGTCGTTAACATAAAGGAAATATGAAGAGAAATTGGTTCTCTATTAGACTAATAAAAGCTATTTGACTGTTGTGAGTTGGCGCAGATCATTGATCTTTATTAGAGAAAGGTAAACTTGTTAGCTATTGCAAAAGTCTTGGCTAAGAGCAGCCTCCTTCCATCAAGAAAAGCCACATTGTCGCAAGTTGCTTAACAACTACATCTAGGTTCCACCTAGATACTGTCATTTTGTCCAATTAGTGTACCTAGGTGGCCAGTAAGGGTACACTTAAAGCATATCTAAACCTAAAAACAAACATTTAATCTATTGCAGCTTACGTTAGATGTAATGACTGCATTATTTTTATTTTTCAAGCTTTTGTTTTTTTGTTTTTTTACCTGGTAATGCTGCAAATAACGCACTTCCTGTTTTTGGGTGGCTACACACTCCCCTCCACTGTATCTATGGAGGGAGCCATGGTAGCCACCCAGGCTGAACTTCAAATATGTCTGCCTTTGTTCATCTCAATTACATAGGGAAAATTATGAGATAAGTAGTTTGGATCAGAAAGATAAAGATTGTTTCGCTTTTTGTTCATCTCAAAGGAACTGACGAGCACTGCATTTCTGACATGTTCAACAGGTATTTTTCTGCACTTGCTAGTAATGTTCTTATCCAGAAAAATAAAAACAATAATAATAATGCAGCCACCACATCTAAGGGCTAGTTAGCTACAAAATATCTAATTTTATGTTTTTGGGCTGTTATCCCTAATGTACACGGTAACTGCAAGCAGACACGGCTTAACACAAGGTTAAGGCTTAGACCACAAGTCATGAAACTCTAACCCTTAGTAACATGGTAAAACCAGGACCAAAGAGGGACTTTTCTGGATAATAAAGATAATAGCAGTCTCCTTATGGCACCATTCCTTTTAAACACTAAGGGGGTTATTCACATAGCTGCCGAAGGCAGCCGAGTGAATAACCCAGCCAAAGTGTAGTGAGACGAACACTGTTCCGCTATTCACTACAGTCTTGTACGGCTGATTTTAGCCGATGTACGAAGTGCATGGAGTTCAACTCAGCCGATCCAACATCTGGATCGGCTGAGCCGAAGCTCCGGCAGCTCACTCGCTGCCGTTTGCCCCTATTCGAATAGGGGCCTAACGGCAGTGAGTGGATAGCCGAATGCCGCCGAGCAATTCTCGGTGGTATCGAGCAGAATAGAAAAAAGGTAAAAAGAATTTTAAAAAAAAGTTGAAATATATTTCTCAAAATGTAAATAAAAGGAAAATTAAAAAGCGAGCCGAAGGATCAGCTGAAGCTACAGCTGGATCCTTCGGCTCTTTAGTTTATAACCCCCTAAGAGAATAAAATGACTTGACAGGTTTGCTTGTGATAAAACTTTTTATGTGGTTTATCTAAATTTTTTATCATACCCTTTTCCTTATTTTTAGTGTACGAAGCCGGAAAGATCTTAAAGATATTTTTGACGTGTATGCTGTTGCCTGCAACCGTTTGGGTTCAGAATCCATCCCACTGTACACAAATTTGACAATTGATGAAAATGTCAGCGGAGTTCAGCCAGACCTAGGTTTGTAGCATACTAACACTGCTTGACACTACTAACTCCTAATACTAACTAAAAAAGAGCAAAACAAATCAATCATCAATTATGGTATCACCACCTTAAATATTACAGAGTATTTTTAAATGTTGCCAAAGGAAGCCTTGAAACTTATTTTTTGGGTCCTAGATTGGACTGACTGATTCTCCAGTTTGGTGAGAAATATGTCCACCTCTGGAAAAATTTGAGACAAATCATTAACAGAAGTGTTTCACTCAATCCTTAAATCAAGCTTTTGATACTTACACAAACCATCTCTCTTATGCTTATGCTTTTAGAGAAATTAAATCTTACTTAATTCACATCCTTTAATTTTATCTGCAGGGTTTGTTACAGGGATTTATAAACTGAACTTGTATAAATCCATTCACATTGTTTTCATATTCATTGTTGCCCCAAGACATTCATGTAAAGTGTCTTTCTTCTGCTTTCGAGACAGTGAGGCAGATTTATAAAAACAGGAGCAGACAAAATCTGGAGCAGTTAGTCCACTCTGTTAGCTTTGTAAAGAGATGGTGCAGTAAGTAGCCAAGAATAAGGATATATGATTGTGACTGTACTTTCAGATTTTTTGATATAAAACACCATTTGTTTAATATACAGTAGAGATATTAAATATACTACATGTCATAAGTAAAACAAAGAATATTAGCTGAAAATGTGATTGTATCTTGTTTTATGTTGTAGATTTATTGACCAGGAATGTATCCGACTTGGGTCTATTTATTCGCAGTAGACAACAGTTGTCAGAAAACCAAAGACAAATTTCTGACGCCATTGCTGCTGCCAGTATTGTTACAAATGGCACTGGAGTAGAAAGTACTTCGCTTGGTGTATTTGGATTGGGAATACAGCAGTTTAATGACTTCTTGGTCAATTGCCAAGGTGAACACTACACTTATGATGAAGTCCTCAGCATTATTCAGGTCAGACTTTCTCCTATTTATCCATACAAATGTTTCTGCTATGATTTACAGAGAAATTATATATGATAAGCAGTACATTCCTTTAAGCAAATTTCACTGTAAGTCATAAAACAATCCCATCTGCAGTTCATCATGTTTACTGTTGATGTCGACACTCGAATTTTAAGTTATGTGCATGGTGTCATCAGTATATGTATTCAGAGAAACTAAATGTGTGTGTGTGTTTTATCAATCTTTTACTATTAGAAAATCAGTAGACATGTATCTGTTTCAGAAGCTGCACCAAGTGATGATATGATTAAATATAACATGCATTTTACTAACAAAGTTATGCATAACTTGAAAATGTTAATTCAGCAAGCATATGCATTCTGACACCATCATGACAAAAACATGATAAACATCAGGGTTGCAGTTGGAGGGGCTCAGTAGGCACTGCTTCTCTTACACCAGCTAATTTACAAATGTCAGTGAATTCTTCAATATAGAAAAATCTATGGTGGCTAAGCAGCTAGCATTATTACTAGAGGTGCACCAAAATTGAATTTTCTGACCAAAACTAAAACAATTGTCAGGTCAAAACCAAAATTATAATTTTTTTCTAACCTTTTTACATTTGTTTTTAAAATATTGTATTATTTATTTATTTTCTAAAATTTTGAAATTATATTTTTTTTAATTTTATTTGTATTTATTATTTTGTTTTTATTAAATATTTTTTTTTTACTTTACTGTCGGGGGGATGTGGGAAATATCAGGGGTCTAAACAGACCCATTTTATTTCCTTCTTAAAATAGAAAAAGAGAGTCTTCAAGCTCTTTTTCTGAATCCCCTGTTATAAATGAACAGAAAGCTTCTATACTTAGTGCTACTGTTCATTCATAACCTGTGGAGATTGTATGTTTACCATGTCCACAATCATGAATGAACAGGAAGTTCATTCATAATTGGGGACACTGTATACATACTATGTCCTCAATTATTGACAAGCACTCAGCGATCAGCTGATCGCTGACTGCTTGTAACTGCTCTCCATCCTGACTCACTGTCACAGGAGGCTGAGCGGGCAGTGCTGGAGGAAAGCTCGGTCTCCTTTGACAGCTGTCTCCTCCCCCACATCACCGGCTCTGCCTCCCCCTCCTGTGACAGCTCACAGCTGTGTCCTCCCCCACACCGCTCTCCAACCTGATCTGGCGTGTCACAGGAGGCCAAGCTCTCCTTCCGCACCGCCCTGCTCGGCCTCCTGTGACACGCCACTCACAACGCTCTCCACCACTCCCTGCTGTTTCTCTCTCTCCGCTGGACGCTGCTCTGTGTCAGAGGGGACACAGAGCAGAGCCCAGCGAGCAGGAGAGAAATCATGGATTCACCGCAATTTCGGCTGAATAATGGTACTTTCTGCATTTTGCCCAAAGTACAATTTTTGGACGATTTGTTTCGGCAGCCGAACTTTCGGTGCATCCCTAATTATTACTGTACAATGCTGTGGTTCTGGGTTTAGTATCTGCTGGAATGCATATGATGAGTTTATAGGTTTTCCCTGATTTTTTTTATTTTTATGTATTAACTTTTTTTTTTTTTTTTAATACAAAGGCATATTAGTAGTTTAATCTGCCTCCATTCACACACAGAAGGCCTTTACAACCCTGGTAGGGCACATTAGCTGGTCTTATGCAAGAATGTGACTATCTAGTTATAAATTATTATAATTTTGCAGACTTATTTAGGAACTTTATATACTTGCTCCTTATTTACCATATTTGTTTGGAGCCTCACACTTTAGCTTGAATGTCTGGTATAAGAGGTCATCTAAAGTCTGACATTCCCTGTCCTTTCAACTACCTGGCTTCACACACTGCCCCCCAATTCTTAAAAGTGCATAAGGGTGCGATGTCAGAGTCTTGTAGTTAAGAGAAGTTTAAACATAGGAGTTGGGCAGTGTGTGGGTCAGGCAGTTGAAGTGTCAAAACTTCAAGTGATCTCTGGCCCCAACACTCAAACTAAAGTGTAATTTAGGCAAACTAAGTACAGCGAATAAGGATTTGTATTTTAAAATGAAGCTTGAACAGTTACATTAATTAAATACTAAATTAATTAAGCCACTTGTGATTGGTTTTCTGTAAGGTTTCCTGGGCCATAAACTTGTGATTTTTTTTTTCTAATGTAAATCTGCAAAAAGAATGCAGATTTGTCTGGCTATATAAATAAACTATGGCCCCTTTATGAGTAATGTCTTCTATATACAGAAAATGAACAGCCCATGTTAATGCTATTAGTGCTGGGTTTCTCCACAGTATGTTGACTTGCAAAACTGATATGCAGAATGTGACTGATTGACATGTAGAACACCACATTCACACTTCAGCTACTATTTGTATTACTAATTGTGTTTACCTTTTTTTAATTGTAAAGAAATTTGAGCCGAGCATTAGTATGCGCCAGCAAGGACTGATGTCGTTTGAAGGATTTGCAAGGTAGTCACTCATTCTTTAGTCCATACTTCTATAGATTTAGCAACGTTCATATCGTATTCTCTTCTAACATCCCTCTATATTTTCAGGTTTCTGATGGATAAAGATAATTTTGCTTCAAGAAATGATGAGTCTCAGATAAATGTAGATGATCTGCACTTTCCCCTTTCATATTATTTTATTGAGTCTTCTCACAATACATATCTTACTGGGCACCAGCTGAAAGGGGAGTCTTCTGTAGAGCTGTACAGTCAGGTAGGAAATGTAATGAGTACAGAATGGTTTTAAGGGATGTAAGGTATATATTCTAAAATACTTTTATGCTATCTTCATACACAAGAAATTTCTAATTGCTCAGTAGAGCAATTAGTGCACTGTTGTACCTTAGCTGTAGTTGATCTTTTTTTTATTTGAATAGCCATGCCACTTGTTTGGAATCCTGTTGGGTGAATTTTTTATTTTATCCCAATACTTTAGTAAAATAAATTGTGTTTAATTAATCGTGCTGCTATTTGAAAATTCAAATAAATAGGTTGACTATTCCCCCATAGAACGTCCTTCATTGTTGCATATTAGTTTCTGAATGTCTCCATTTACAGTGCATAGCAATTGTTACACAATTTAATGAACAAATTGGGCGGCCAACTTTGAATGTCTTTTGGTGTAAGCGTTAGAGAAAACCGTTAGTAGGTCTTCTGTTTATGAGTAAAATTTCATTCATTATTCCAGATTTCACAACCCTGGCCACCTTGTGTTACCTCACTGCTTTGCCATTCTTAGTCTTCCACGGCTATTCAGTGTTTATGCTAACTCTTCCCTCCTCCTATCACGCTCACTCACATCATTGTCTTATTTATATACAGATAACATTTTTACCCGACATAACTCCTTACGTCAGAATATTGGTTTCTATCGTTTTGATGAGGTAACTGGGAAATGTAATATACTGGAAATCATCCAGAATAGACAGAAAAAGGAAAATGTTTTTCTATACTGAAGCTTTGTTTATGGCAGAAAATTGGTCCTCTTAGAATACTGTTTTGACACACTCCGACTGACCCATTCTTCTAAATTTAAATTTTCCCACAGGAAACACTTTTCTGAAATGGCAGCTACAGTATATTGTAAAGTTGAAAAAAGTGCCATGATAGTATGTTTGTACAGTAAAACACATTCTGATAACAGAAATCTGTGTCTTCAATTTATTTGAACAAGATGTGCTTATTTCTTTAGGTTCTCTTACAAGGCTGCAGAAGCGTGGAATTGGACTGCTGGGATGGGGATGATGGCATGCCGATTATATATCATGGACACACACTAACAACTAAAATTCCCTTTAAGGTAAAGGACTTGTCATACAGCAATACAGATAACCACAGAAATACATTTTTAAGAAATTCCTCACATAAAGTTTACAGTAAAGATGTTGAACCATAACATCATCTACAGACACTGCCTGTATCAAACTTAGTGAGGCTTATGTAAGATTCAAGTGAAACTGGAACTCCTGAGTAATATTTCTTAACAGCATTTAATCCAGTTATGTGTTCATGATAAACTTGTTAAATGTATATTTACTTAAAGCTAGCATATATGCCTGAGTCTGTCCTAATCTCAGCCACATATAAACCTCTGCCCAACACCTTGAAGACTGGGAGAGTGAGGGTCAGCAGTCAAGGAAAGGGGAGGGCACAATGAGCATAACCTCTTCTAGTTTCCAAAAACTGGCTGGGGGAGGAGAGGGTACTATTTTCCTTATAGTCTTACCTTAAAGTATATCTAAAGCCAGAACTTTTTTTGATAGCGTATGGGATCCTTGAAATCTCGTCAAGTTTTTTTTGTTTCTGCCCCAAATGGGAAGATTAACATTTACTTCCTGTATTGAGGCAAAACATAAAGTGAGAAGAGATGAATTAAAAAGTGAGTGGAATCCTTTCTTACAGTTGTCACTGGAACAAGTGTCCCCAGTGGAAGATTTCACATATATTCCTGTTCCAGTGATAACGTACGTTTTTAGATTTTCCATAATTTTCAGTTGTTGGCAATCGTCACCAGGGCTAATAGAGAGAGTTAGGCTCCCCAGCAGGGTCTTAGACTGCAAGCCTGAGGATGTAAACCTTACATGCTCTATCCACAGCCAAAACAAAGCTTTAGATACTCTTTAAAAAGGTTAATATTATTAAAAATCATTTTGATGTGGGGACAAAGAGGGGAGCTGTGTAAATATTAGATATAAGATTGGACATATACATATGGGACAAATAACGGATACCCTAAAATTATGATTTTTGATTGGAATTTTGCTTTAGAAATTGGACTCGTACCCCAAATCTGATTCAGATGTGTTCTTTTAACAGGATGTAATAGAAGCCATTGATCGCAATGCATTCATCAATTCTGACATGCCAATTGTAATCTCCATAGAGAATCATTGCTCCTTACCCCAGCAGCGCAAGATGGCTGACATTTTTAAGGTGAATTGGTGCTGCATTTGTGATTTTCCTATTTGTTTATTCAGTACATTGTTACACTTTGTATCATTCTATTCTCTTTTAGTCTGTGTTTGGTGAGAAATTGGTGACAAAATTCCTTTTTGAGAGTGATTTCTCTGATGATCCCATGCTTCCTTCTCCTTGGCAACTAAGAAGAAAAGTGCTTCTGAAAAACAAGAAGCTCAAGGCACACCAGACTCCTGTAGACATTTTGAAGCAGAAGGTTAGTTTGTGACACGTAACTTGGTGAGTGTACATGTCCACAAGAACCACAAAACATAAGAGGGCTATAGGGTTCAAGCGGAAAAACAATTGTTGCATTCACAAAAAGATCCTTGGTAAGCACACATCTGTGACTGCAGTAAACGAGAAATTGATAGGAGCTTGACTGCATGTAGCCAGTGGCATATCCATGAGTGTTGAATGTTCATTAAGCATCTAGGGCTCACACTATGTCTTGAAAATTCTGATATGGCCTCTAGAGAGGGGGTGACTCTGGAGTGTTGTAATACTCAGCAAGGGCTGCTGTACCAATTGGGATAGAGGTAGTATTGTGTAGTATTAGCATACCTGTGTATACTAAGCCATTGGGCACCATACACTTTTACTGAATCTTGTGGTAATGAGAAACTTTTACCATACATATGGTATTGTGTTGGTCATACATATTAATATTTTTATCCATTCAACTGTAATGTTTTTATTTCCATTGGTTTCTCTTCCTTACCAATTGTTTGTGATTTAATGTTTTTTTATTTTTTATTGCATTAATAAATGATTGCATTAACACTTGCACATAATTCAATTTGATCAGATATAAAAAAAATTCAGTCCTCATGTGATCACTATTTCTATCCATTCGAGTGAAAATAAATATTGTATCTGATTACAAATGATACTGTCGAGCAGCACAGTGGTGTAGTGGCTTGCGCTTCTGCCTTCTAGCACTGGGGGTCCCTGGTTCAAATCCTGGCCAGGTCACTATCTTCAAGGAGTTTGCATGTTCTCCCTGTGCTTGCGTGGGTTTCCTCCCACACTCCAAAGATATGCTGGAAGGTTAATTGGCTCCTGTCTAAATTGGCCCTTGTATGTAAGCATGTGAGACAGGAACCTTAGATAGTAAGCTCCTTGAGGGCAGGGGAAACACAATATTTAGAGCCCACTCCTGTAGAGCAGACACAACACTGAAGGTTGACTACTGATGGTGTGCGAAGCTCCTCACAACAGGGGGAGGGACCATGTGTAACAACATAAAAACAACCACTTTTTTGAGGAGCGCAACTACCTGTAATCCCTATTGTGAATACATGGGCTGAACAATGCTAGTACAGTGATGTTGGAGCATGTATATGTCAAAATACGAGTGTGGAACACCAACCTATAACTAGCCCTATGGGATAGAAAAGGTATTGACTTACAGTTGGGATGTGGGAAAATGTGCCCAAAAGTCTCTCCCGGCTTCACTTCAGGATCTATTGGTCGGGTCCTTCTAGCTGGCAGGTGAGAGGTAAATGGCTGGAAAGGAGCCAATTGTCAATGTTCGGCTGGTCTAAAACATACAGGTGAAACTCGAATAATTAGAATATCGTGCAAAAGTAATTGCAGTAAGTGCTGCAAAAGGGGCCCAAACCAAGTACTGAGTACATATGCATGCTTGTACTTTTCAGAGGTCCGATATTGTTCTATGTACAATCCTTGTTTTATTGATTGCATGTAATAATCTACTTTTTTGAGGTTGTGGATTTGGGGTTCTTGGGGTTTTCATGAGCTGTAAGCCATAATCATCACAATTATGACAAATCACGGCTTGAATTATCTTGCTTTGCATGTAATGAGTCTATCTCATATATTAGTTTCACCTTTTACGTTGCATTAGTGAAATAAATGAACTTTGCACGATATTCTAATTATTCGAGTTTCACCTGTATATGTGATGGTGAGGCAGCCCACATACTCGGCTGGCCAGGCCGGGCCGCGACGGCTGGGATGGGGAGAGTGTGAGGGAGAGAGCGAGGAGTGCTGCACAAATTGTATGGACACCAATAATAATATTAAAATAAATTGAAACAGGATTTTTTATAATCTGATTGCATAATGTGTATGTGATCTTAACGATCATGTCCTATGGCAG